AAAGGGGACCCAAGAGAGAAGAGTCAAAATCAGATATAGACTCATCCTCCTCTAATTCAACTGATCACATAGGAAAATGAGAAAATTTTTCAGTTTTTACAAGGCTGTTGGAGCATGTCAGCACATCAGGGCTACCATGTGCACTTTGCACTTTACTATAGTCCATATCTGCTTTTTCTTCTTGCTTGTGTAGTCATGCCCATGGCAGGGAGCTATTGCCATCTGCCATCCTTGAGTCTTCTTTCTCTAAGTGCCCTCAGAAATTCATGTTAAATTACTATAGACCAAGGCCTTTCGCCAGTTCTGTTTACTTAAGTACATTTTATAAACTGCTTGCTTAGCCTTTCTTGGGCTAAAAAAATCTTTTTCTATCTCCTTTCCTTTTCAAACCTCTTCCTTCCATTTGCAGCCTTTCTTTTCCCTCTTGCATATATCACTTTCTCTTATTTCTTCTTTCCCTCACATTGGCTCTCCTGGTTTTTTTTCTTCTCCTTCACACTTCATATTTCTTCCTGTGCCCATCCTAACTGGTCTCACTCCTCACTACTTCCCATGGAAACCTATATTGCTTTCCAAACCCTCTCAGTTCCCGTGCGGATCTCACCAACCCTTTCCTACTCTACCCATTTTCTCTACTCATCAGCTTCTGCTCTTCACCCCTCCGGTTAAATGACAGCTGACATTCCCCTTACCCAGCCAACCTCAAAGGACAGCAAACCTTGAGCAGCAGTATCTTGCAGAGAACTTAGAGGAGGACATGGCTGCTGCACTGGGGGAGGAGGAAGAGCATGTAGGGAACAGGACATGTAATTCAGCCTCCTGAGCATCCTGTTTGGCTGGCCCTCCAGACAACACAAGCTTTCTAAAGATTATAAAAATGAGCTAAGTGTACAGCAGTCAGGGTAGAGGAACTGGCAACCACACAAAATCTGGTTTTATAACACACAAAAGAATAATTAAAACCTGACTTCACTAATAAGTATACTCCATTTTCATCAGAACACAGCTCTTCCAAGTATCCCACCAGCTATGAAATGTCAAGCAGGAAATGAAAGTCACAGAATGCTAAAGTTTTATTACAGATATATTGTTTCATACCCAGGAACTTTTATCCGTAATTAGGACATAATAATTGTAACTACAAGTTTGAGGGAGAAATAAAGTAAGTTAAAGATTAAAATTCTGATGCTGGCCACTGGTAACATATGGAGTGCAGTGGATGCACTTTAATTTAATGCTACCTTTACTGTAGAAGATGATGGTAGTTGTTTGACATTGGATGTTAAAGTAAGTGTTTTGAAGGTACTTGACCATATCTATATTTTCTGCTTAACATGATTTCCCCTTTCCCTCTAGAAGTCTGCATTGAGATTATAAAACTCAGGTAGATTTGAACATTTCTTTCATTAGCTTTAATGGAAGATGTGTGTTTAAATTCCTTCATAATGTTCTCTCAAGGACTGCTCTTGCCTTTGAAACTTTTCTTGTCTTTGGTAAAATGCCAGAAAAAATTGTGAAAAGAAGCCTCAGTTACTTAAGTCGTGATATGCCAACAGTTTTATAAACTCCTTAAGGCAGGGACTGGAGTTTTTATTCTCTTTACATCATTTGCCACAGTGAGGTCTCAGTCTGAAGTGCTTCAGTCAAAAAAAAAAAAAGAAGTCAGGATGCTTATTTCAGATTCTGCATGGATCTGCTACAAGATCAATAGATTAAAATTACATACGTTATTAGTGCTGTCTGAGACCACATCCTTGAATAGGGCTTTCACATAGTGGCACCTTGTTTGGATTGTTCTGTTCCTTTGTAAGAAAAAAAAAATGAGCCTTTTGGGAACAGTCAATCAAAGACAATTTGCTCTGTCACTCACCTGTCCCTGCTATCGTGCCTTCAATAGAAAAGGAAATTGAAGTTGAGAGAGTAGACCCTAAGCCACACACAATCACCAGAATGGACCACAGAGTAATAGCTCTTTGACCAGCACTGAGTATCCTTCTCTCATTTTTTTCCCCAACTACTGTCAATTGCTTTATGTAAATCTGAATACATTTCCAGGCAAACCAATGCCATTATAGAATGTCCTAAATTAATGAGACCACCATCAGGGGAAATATTAATCTGCAATATTGCATTTTACTTCAAGTGCCCATAACCGCAGGCCACCACTTCTCATGGAAACAATTACTCACAATTACTTGCAATTAATGCAGTCCTAATCACATGGGGAATCTGGTCCAAGTACCAAAATTAATGCAGGTTTGCATTTTAATATTCCCATTAAATACATTCTCTCTTCTTCCCTTGCTGAACCTACTGCAATCATATATGCATGTTGTCTCTGGAAATATAACTATGCTTTAACAGGAGGTCAAAGGAGTTTAAACATTATCTGTAATCAAATGTTTACATATCCTGAAAGAAAAAGGCATGTACTTCTTCCTGGACGTACATAAAATTAAGATAGGCGGCGTTAGAGGTGAAAAGTTTTGCAGCAAAATAAACATTTCTAATATTTGATGGTTGATAGTCTTTCCCAGGAAGGTCTTTCTCCATAACTCAGAATGCAGGTGAAATCCCAGTCTAGCCAGTTCATTTTTGATCCTCTTCCACCAGTAAAACGATAGCAGCGTATTAGTCTATGCACTGGCTTACAAAGAAGCAGTCCCAAAAACGCTTACCTGCACAGTTCTGCTCCGGTATCCACTGGACTTTCAACCCTTCCCTCTGACAAGCTCGGGCATACGCCAGGAACGACTCACAGTAGCAGTTTTTATGGACTGGGCACTCACACATGTCTGTCACACAGGACCTGCAGAACAAAGCCCCAAAACAAATAAGTAAGGAAAACTTTGGCACGTATCTGTCCGAGGTTTGGAGTTGTTTACTTTCCAGTCACATGGAGGTCAATCCTACAGCAACTTGGGCTAAATGGCAAGAAAGTTAAACCTGTCTCTGCTGTCACATCCCAAGGGCTCATCTCTTTTTTGATGTGCTGCTCTGATGCAGAGAAGTTGCAAGAGCACCAGGGACATAACCATGCAGAAACAGGGAGGTGAGAAGAAGACCCAAGAAACATCAGGCAGAGTGGACTGAGACCACAGTGGGAGAAGGCAAACTCCATTTTTGCAATAATTTTATGTCAACTCAAGTTAAAGACCTCTTTCTTATTCCCTGGAAAGTAATAATTTAATAATTTTACCAATAATAATATCAGAAGTGTTAAGTTACTGCAGGTAATGAGTATATGCCCTTCCATGCAAGTGATGAGAAACGGTGCCTTCTTTCCAGGTTACCTCCAGCCTCTCGCCGCTTTGAAGGCCCCAAAATAGCTGTATGCCTGTTTTCTCATCAGCATCACTACTAAATACCAGACTTTAAGAGACTCCAAAGGAGCAGGGGTGATGCAGCATAACTGAGCAGTTCTCACGTTAGGAAATCCCCCAGGCACTTGTTAACACCACCATCTTACTCCATTGCATAAGATGGAATCACCACAAAACATGGCAGGGAGCAAAGCTGCTAACATGGCCCCGAGTGAAACTGCTACTGCGTATGTCACCACTATATTTCAAGTTAGCTCATCCAAACCGTGTGCCCGTTTGGCACAGACCTAAAATATAACTCACAAGAGCTGGCAGATTTGCAGTCAGAAGTTTCTGTATATGCAAAATGCTGAGATGCTTCTGCAAATGCAGCAATGAAGATTCAGAAATGCTGAGTATCTATGGCTCTGAGTGGAATCATTAGAAGGCAGGGACAAGGTGTGGGGAAGACATATTCGGCCCTCCAAAAATCATGCCCTTGGTTCCTCTGCTTTCTGCTGAGGGTGCTCTGTGCATGCACCTTGGGTGTCAGTGCACAAGAGCCCCCTGCTCCATGCACGTCCAGGGACTTCTCTGTTCCCGAGAGGACAAAGCAACGTTTCTGAGAGGCACAAATCCTCCAAAAAGACCAAGGGTCGAAGTAAAAAATGAGCTCTCCATGTTAATTGCTCTTGCTGTGGACCAAAAATTTAATTGTCTATAGGAAAAGGATGATACATTTCAGAAATAATTTTCTCCTACCCCATATTCTGCCTCCTCTTCATTCCGCCTTTGAATCTGATAAATAGATTTGGTGACACTAACTGCATATATGCAGAGGCTTATCTGTACTGTAATCTGACTAGACTGTTCAAACAACAGAAAAATACACTTTTAGTAAAACTTTGGAAGCTATAATGAAGCTATACTGACAAGTTATCATACTGCACGCTAACGGAGACTTTGGGTCTTCCGAGGTATTGTGACTCTTTACCAAAACATTTGCTTAAATGAAGTAAAATTGAGAATACATATCAGAAGCTTAAACATCAAAACATTACAGTCATATGGAAATAATCCTACCGGAAGACTGCAGCGCAAGTCACTTACAAAATGAAGCCATTTTACCAGCTATGGAAATACACACAAGACACTTCAGGCAGCCTTAGCTCTGCCCTCAGTGAAATCATATAGAGATGCAATGACGTTGGGGTCCAAAAGAAAATTACATTTCTTTTAATGACATATTTACATTTCTAAAAATATTCGGCTGTGATGGTGCACTTTATCTGGAGTCCCTGCTCCAAATAAGCACTGGAGCACAGCCAACCTCTCTGTCCTCAACTGGTACCAAGTGCCTCACTGTGATTCTTTTTGATGCTGTCTATGCTGCCTGCAGGGTGTGTGTCAGAGATGGCGCTAATTGGGTGTGTATAATCACAAACTGTTGCAAGGGGAAATCCATGAAAGTGAAGGCATCCGGCAGCTGTGGGACACACCCTCGAAGGAGACAAACACACACACACACACACACTCTGCTGCCACATCTTCAAAGCAAACTGGATGAGTACAGTCCTTCAGCAACAGTCCTTTTTCACATTAAACGGTGGAAAGTCTCCAAGTCCCACAAAGGGCAAAGAATCGAGTCCTGTGCTACGTGAACTATTAAATAGAAGAAGATCACAGCAATGAAGCCTACAGCCTTAGTCCGTGCCACGCAGGATTGAAATTGCAGATGTTCACTTGCTGAACATGAGCAGTTCCTTTTCCTTTGCAGTACCCACAAATCCAAAACCAGAACCAGCTATTTTAGGAGGGACTATTTCACAGAATTCACAGAATGGTTAGGGTTGGAAGGGACCTTTGGAGATCATCTAGTCCAACCCCCCTGCCAGAGCAGGGTCACCTACAACAGGTTGCACAGGACGGCTTCCAGGCGGGTTTTGAATGTCTCCAGTGTGGGAGACTCCACAACCTCTCTGGGCAGCCTGTTCAAGTGCTCCACTACCCTCAAAGTAAAGAAGTTCCTTCTCATGTTAAGATGGAACTTCCTATGTTCAAGTTTATGCCCATTACCCCTCGTCCTATCACTGGGCGCCACTGAAAAAAGACTGCTCCCATCCCCCTGGCATCCTCCCGTTAAGTATTTGTATGTATTAATAAGATCCCCCCTCAATCTTCTTTTCTCTAGACTAAAGAGACCCAAGTCCCTCAGCCTTTCCTCATAAGAAAGGTGCTCCAGTCCCCTAATCATCTTTGTTGCCCTTTGCTGGACCCTCTCCAGCAGTTCCCTGTCTTTCTTGAACTGGGGAGCCCAGAACTGGACACAGTACTCCAGATGCGGTCTCACCAGGGCAGAGTAGAGGGGGAGGATGACCTCCCTCGACCTGCTGGCCACACTCTTCTTGATGCACCCCAGGATGCCATTCGCCTTCTTGGCCGCCAGGGCACATTTCTTTTTGCATTTCCCCCACACACACACACATTTCAGAACAGGAGTGTGATGCATTTTTCAAACATTTTGGTACCTTCAAGAAGGGGCTCTATGCAGACAAAAACCACTGACATCTTCCTCTTTCCACCAGTAGGTCTCAACAGACTTTACAAAAGTAATTAGATAAAATGGATGTAGTCATGCACTATTTGTATGTGAAGAGGCATCAGGCGGTGAAGAGGTTTGTCCTCTGTACCTGGGACAAGCTCTGCATTTGCAAACTCCAAAGCCTGAAGGGTCATCTGCCTAGAAAGGAGAATTAATTTCCAGCCTCACCATCCTGTGAGACAGACTTTTGGGGATAACTTCTTATTCGGTATGCCAAATCCAAGTTTTAGTACAAGATTGGCCTAATTTAGCACTAGTTATGAAAATAGCCATACTCCACACAACAGCCAGTTTGGATTCCCATAATCACACTGGAGTGCTCACAATTCAGCAGCAACATAGAATTTATTATTCTTGATCCAAAATTAGACCGCCTTTCTCTTACTTTACAGGAAAAATAAAAGTCAATGGCTTCTGTCAGTAGTTAGGTTGTTACAAGAAAATTTGGGCTGTTTTTCCTACAAAGATTCAGTGAGTTGCCATTATTTATGGCCCCAGCTAGAGAAGTCATTTCACAAGGTAAGAAGATGAGAAGATGAGCCATATTACAGGGTATAATGGAAAGGCTCGTGCTGTTGCTTTTGCAAGCTCTCTCATCTGTATGTGCATGTTTAATCTTATTGAAGAACTGCAGTGTGGTTTGTAGAGCTGGAGACTTTTTCTGACTTTGAGGCTTGAGATCAGAGGCTTGAGATCATTCTCTCTTTCTCCAGAATTTACTAACCCTAACACAAAAGCAGCAAATAACTCATGAGGAAGGTAATTTTGGAGGCTGTTGAAAACACAGAAGCCCTTACATCTATTGAGTATTCATTCAAAGCACTTGCCTGGGGAACAGACTGTTTCATGCAGCAAAGGCGGTCATTTTCAAGGATCATTTCTTCCAAGAACAGGTAGCTGCACTCCCTTTGTGCTTTTCTCACACATAATAACAGTGGTAACATTGCCTTAAATTGGGGATCTGATAAAAGCATGCATAACAAAGTTAAATCATCAGTGCCCTGACCAGTTTTTCCAGTAAGTGGGAAAGTGCCCAGAAAAAGTGGCAGGCAGCATACGTGCACTTTGTACTGGAGACTCCCCCACCATACAGGAACCCCCACACTGCTGAACTGGCTCCAAAAAAAAACCCTAAACACGTGGGAGCAGAAAGGGAACTCACAGCTCATCTTTGGTGAGCAGTGCACAGCAAATCTACTGAAGGCATATGCTTTCCATGGGGAAATCTCATTCCTATAAAGAGAGCATTGGCCATAATGCTTGACAGTGTCAGAGTTATTTTTGGCAGATCGCAGAGGAGGAGTTTGCAGCAGCAGACATTTGAATGACGCATTCAAATTTCATCCTGATACATGATTTTTGTGCAAATTTGAGTAAACCCTGGACTGTATTGCCCCATGCAGCCAAGCAGAAAGAAATGATAAAATACACGACTCCACCAAAGGACAAGGTCTGCATGTGATTTCTAGGGCACAGCAGTCACGTTATACACACATTGAAGAGTCCTAATTTAACTCTGAGTGCCATTGTTCCTGCTCCAGATATAGACTTGGCACTCAGAGATAATTAAACAGAATCACAGATATCCACATCCATGTCTGCCTTGCCAAGGCACCCTTCCAAAGCAGTTATTTAGAAGAGTTCAGTCAACTTGGGAAAAGGGTCTTATAAATGCAAGTGGTAATTATTGTTGGTAATTTCCAACATAGCAGAGACAGACAGCAATTCAATTTTTGATTTCGTTGCATATATAGCTCCTTTAAAAAAAGTCAGAACCCATACTTTCCTCACAAAGAGTAAGCAAAAATGGTATTTTCCAGACAGTGAATATATGAAGGTCTGTGTAGACCTCTGAAAAAGCATACTGTGCTGCACAATATCACCACAAGCCTATAGTACGTGCTG